CTTGTGGATGGTACTAGTACCTGTTAAGACTGATTTTGGCAAATGACATATTTTCTAAGAAAATCAGAGGGCGGGCGTAGCTAATTTCTGCTAAGATAAGACTGATTTTAGCAAATGACGTTTCCTCTAAGAAATTTAATTAAATTATTATAAGAAAAAACGCTAGAGGTTCCAAAACACTTTCAAGTTCTTTCCAAACATGAATACCTAGAACCTCAAGATTGTTTTAAATTTTTCAAAAAAAAAAAAAAAAACAGAGCCCCCAAAATTAACTCAAAAACCGGTCAGGTCAGAATTTTCTAAAAATATAACACCAAAGTCCCGCAAAATTGTTTTAAATAATTAACAAAAAAGTCTATGGGCCCCCAAAATAATACAGCATGGGTACCCAAAAGTGTCCCGAATAAAAAAAAAACACTGCCGCACTGAAGACTTTTTCAAATTCGTGAAAAATAAAATACTTAAAGCTCAAAAGATTTTTATAAGTTCATCCAGCAAAAAAACAGAAGATTCCTGTAAATTTATCCGAAAATAAAACAACAGGGAATCTAAAATTACCTGCGAACATTTTAAGCGTAGGGTTTTGCAAACTTTGACAATATTTGGTACGTCAAACATTTTTAACTGCTTACTCAATTTTTGCTGATTTGTACCTTCACTTTATATCAGGCAAACATTTGTCAAATGGAATTTTATAAGATTATTGCAAAAACAACACAACCATATCTTTACATTTTTAACTGAACTAATTAAACATGGTAATGGGCGAGAGAAATATTAACTAAAAGTTTTAATACTAGTTATTGTAATAATGAATATATTGTTTAGTTATGAAACGTAGCAAAAGAACCAATTTTAAAATATGGGAAGGATTTTTTTTTTCAGACACCCGGTATAGTACATATATGTGACTTACATCACTCAGAAAAAAGTATTCGAACGTCATTTCGGCAGTCCAACAAACCCCGCTTTTTTGAAAAATGATAAAACTTGAAGAAAAAAGACCCATGAGAGAATCCAACCCGCAACGTTCTCGTTGTCCACGGAAATCACTGCGTTATTGTATATATTTGCGTGGGCTCCGCTTATATGATAGTATTAAAAGTTGTTTTTGATATTTTACAAAAATTTTGACGGCTCTGGGAACACCTCAAAGCGAATTCATGAACCACAAGTACGAAAAACTTTGAGAGGATGTCACATTCTTAATAGGGAATGCTTAAACATATTTTGATTGTTGGTTAAATTTTGAAATTTAAATAGATTAGTTAAGTAACTAAGTACTTACCAATGCTTTAACTACTCACTTAAAAAGTAGTTTTAATATAAAAATAAGTATTATTTGGTTATGTGGTTACAACTTTTGAACAATAAATTTATTATACTTAATGCAAACTGGCTCAACGTTAACAAAAAAGAAAAATACACTTCCATTTAGACGCACTTTAATCGCTCCTGCTATGGATGCTTTTATTGCCTTGCTTCATTACCCCTCTTTCTTTTTTTATTTTTTTTAGGATGCAACGAGTGCAGAAATAAAGTAGCTGCAGTTTTATCTGCGTATGAAATATAAAGCATACACCCCACGGTTAACACAATGTATTAATTATACAGATATTTTTTCGTGTTAATTTTGCTCAGAACATGCTTTTTGGTGAGTTTTAATCACCAGAAAATAAAACAAAATATGGGTTTCATTACTTTTCAGTAAAAGTATTAACTAACTTACATTAGTTCAGTAATCGCCAGCAAAACCTGCTTATGGCAGTGACTTGATTAGAATGTGGAAACAAAAGTAATGAAATGTTTAAAAATTAATTACATTTGAAGTGTATATGACGGGATACAAGTTTTACATGATTTTGGAACGTGTATTCACCTTGCCAACAAAGGCGTAGCAAATTACACGTTTCAGCGTGATTACGTGACATATCGTGTGCTTTAAGGTATTTAAAATCTTAAAATTTAACCCACAATAAAACACAGTTGTCATGAATGTGGAACTGTGTAGAAAATAAACATTCCTCTAAGCAAATGTAAGCAATAATATTAATTGTGTCTCAGCTCTCACGGTACTTTGTTCTTCTTAACTTTAACTGAACGTACTTTTCGTGGAAACAATTACTAAAACAGTTGTTACTATATAGTTAAATTTAACAGTGCACCGTGAAAACAAAAGCCAAAAATTGAGAACCATCAACCTACCCCGGTCAGGACCTTTTATAGAGGGACTTGACGAAAAACGCAGTGAAGAGCTTCTGACTCAGGAATAATCTCAAACTGTAGTGTGACTAGTGACAGGACATTGTCCCCTAAATAAACACACGTGTTTTATCGATCTAACTTCGATAGCATACCGCATAACGAATCTGCTTAAAGCACGATGAGAGGGTTGAACCCATTTTGTGGTCCACACTTACTGGGATCAGGAAAGTACACACTAACTCAAAAACTTTGGAGTCACATGAAATTCAGGATGCTCTGTAAATGGTATTTTATACTTTATCAAAGACGCACTACTCTTATGGGATCCGACCGAGTGGAAGCACAACGAGATCAAAACGTCTCACATTGAAAAATAACAAGCAAAACACGCCGTACTCTTATCAGCTTTTTTGGCGGATAAGATTTAAAAGTATGTATTAGGTTTTTGTGTGCTGATATTAAATTCACTTAGTAAACTGTTCAATTGACCTTTTTAGTGAAGAGAAGACAGGAAAATAATTCCACGACTTTGTCTGAAAACATTCAGGTAATTGATTAGTTAAGTCGAGGTATGAAAGTTATTTGATTTATTTGGTTATTGTGCTGGTGAAATTTGAGTAAACAACATTCTCGAGACGTTTATAGTGAAGTAATTATCCTGTAATTCGGAATATTTTAACCAACAATATTAAGTAAGGTACATAGTTTTCTGTACCTTTATTAACCAGGAATCTTCCTTCACATTTTTTTGATTTTACAAGTTATTTAAAAAAATGTATTTACTTTGTGGTGAAATATTCCATAAGTATGCTAAACACATCTTTGTAAACTGAATCTGTAATTTTCGTAAATTTATATACTTACATACTTACTTAATATTGAATCTATTTAAAGTAACACCCATGATCGTGATCATATTAAAATAATAATTTTTTGTTGTACAAATTCTGTTTTGTGATTATAAGTAATAAAAAAATATTAAGCTGCAAACAAAAGAATGTTATTAAACTTTTAACTCCCCGCTAAGAAAGATATTACTTAAGTAGAACCAAATTTCACCAAATGTGTATTTTTTCATATCTTGCGACTTCATATTCTATACTATACCCTAAACCCAATTTTTAAACTTTATATTTTTTTAATAATAATAATCAGTGAGACACGCAGACACGTGACCAAATAATAGACCACCATGTAGCGTTTCTTAAAAAAAAAAATAATTAGAAATATTAACGACGTTAACGTCAGAAAATTAATCACAATTAGGTGAAGAAACTATTATATCGACGAAGTAAGTACAACATTCCAGCTATATCGCTTTATTTAAATAACAAAAATTATAGCGGAAGTGAACACATAAAATATTGGAAAACAAGTTCTAAGAATTTAGAAACAACTCCCGTGTGATAACTATAATTATTCGCTTATGTCGACAAACGGCCCATGAAAGTGGGTCGAGTTTGTACTTTTAATACAGTAAATAATAAAAGTTTGGCTCTCTAAATTTTTCACGGTTCCGTAAATTTTTCACTTTCCTGTTAATTGACCTAGAATTAATGTTGATAACTTTACTTCCTGCAGTATTTTTATCTCTTAATACAAAGTGGTATTTTTAAAAGTGCCAAGATTTTTAGAAATAATTTTATTGTTTTACTATGTATTAAAGGTGAAGTAGTTTTGGGTGGAGATTAATATCACGGTGGTACAAACTATAGAAAATCAAAATTGTATGAATTCTAGCATTGAAAATGTGATTTCTAACCGATCGAATTTCATGTAAATGAAAGAAATTATAAAATTTGAATTCATTCCAAGCATCACTATAATATTTCTTTTTGTCAAACTCTTCACATGAAAATTATTTTATCCAACATTAGAATAATCACTAGATCCCAAATCAATTTGCAATAAATTAACACAACGTGTTTGTTTAGTTTTAATTCATAAACTGTATACACTTTCGTAAGCTGGTTTTCTAGGAAAGCTTAATGTGTGTTCAACAAAGCGTCACCAATATTTGATTATTTCCTACCTATCAACTACTGCACAAATATTTATCGGTTAAATGTTTATGGGTTATTCATATTACGTTGGTGTAATTACATATGGTTTAATCTCGCAGGCCGTAGTCTCTAAAAATATCGTCTTCAAAACAAGCGGGTAGTTGAGCGTCGAGACGGCGACGCCTGCGCCAGGATAATCGATTCGGCGTCGTCGTTTCTGATACACACTATTTGGTCACTATCATGAAAATGTCAATTCCTTGTCACAAATATCGCAAAATAGATAAAGAAAATGTCAGATAGTAACTCGCCCTGTTACTGGGTAAGTTTCATTGACGATTATCGTTGTCGCCTTCTGTAAATAAAATAATTTTGTTACGTAGAACATGACTCGATCTGTGTTGAATGTATGTCTGTGTAATCGTAAATTCAGAGATGTGCTACTGTTTTTGTCTTCCAAACACAATAATGCTCTTTAGTCGTGATAATAAGTCGTGAAACTCAATTAGGAGAGTTGAGAATGACGCCGTCAAGCTCAACAAATACCAGACTGCAACTTTTAATTAATGTTATCTGGTACAATAATCAATAATTTTATTTTTTTATTGTTCGCATGTACAGTGAAATAATCCCCAAGTAATTGGAACACTAGTCACGAGTCTTGCTCCTTAATTAAGGAGAGACGTAACTTATCATCGTTTAAATGCCACCTTTTCCATTTTAATATTAACCGAGACGCTAATAAGAGTAACCTTGCACTTTATAAATAGCGATGTTTGTTTGTTGTTACAGCTAAGAAAATGGACACTTTCAACAAGAAGCTGCGTTTCTTGACAAGAAACCAATCGTGGACAAGTACACATATCGAAATTTTTTATACGACCGATTGAAATTAGCTTAGACCTCCCTTAGCACAATGGGAAGCACTTCATCGAAGTTCAAAAAATACCTTCAACATGGTGATGAATTTGCCGCTATGCAAATTTATCAAAGTTCACCCGAACTCCGCAAGAACCTGGACCCTAATTTAAGTTACGGAGAAAACCATAACCACAACACCGCGCTACATTATGCTGCCAAACATGGTATTTATAAATTTTTACTCAGTTTTCCACCTTTAACTTGATACTTTTTTCGCAGGAATGAAACATCTTTTAAGAACGTTTCTAAATGACTTAGGTGGTAACCCCAATAAGAAAAATGGTTTAAACGAGTCGGTCTTGCACAGCGCTTGCCAGCTGAACCAAACGAAGAGTTTTAGCGCTCAAGAAAGACGAGCTGCTTGTGTTCAACTTCTCCTCTACTGGAAAGGCGTTCCTCTGGCAAACGGAGGTAGAGAACGAGTGGATTTGAGTTCTCAAGATAAAGAGGGTAACACGGCTCTCCACTGGGCAGCCTCGACAGGTCTAAAACGCTGTGTCGAGCTTCTGCTAGCTCATGGAGCACCCCTTTTTATCGAAAACAACGACAAGCTAACTCCATGCGACCTAGCAATGAGAGGATCACACCATGACATTGCTAGATTGCTAGAAAGCCGGATGGTTTTTGTAAGTTGACAAGAATTTCAGTGAAAATTTAAGTACGTGGCATTTCTAGGCTGACAACGCCGATTTGGTGAACGAAGATGAAATTATCACGGAACAAGAGGAAGTTTATAGCGGATTAAGAAGTCAAGACTTGCAGGAAGCTAAAGACCAGTTACTTGTTGACACTTCCGACATGCTTAAGATTCCTTTATTTACAGCTGAAGCTCTATTGAGAAATAATGGTAAGTTTTTAGAGATTTAGATGCCGTCTGTATAGTGTGAAAAATTAGAATGGTCTCGCGAACTTCTGCTGGAAAAGTGGATGAAGGATCCGGTGGAATGCTGTCAGTTAGCGGGTGTTCAAGCTCCTTCTTCGGTTCTGAAGCATGCAGGTTCTTTGGAGTCCAGCATCTCGGCCGAAACTAGTGACGAGATCAATGAAATTATGGTACGGAAGGTTTGATATACACTCTGACTGTGAATTACTTGCAAGAAATAAAATCGACAAAAACCAGCAGCAAGCAAGAATCTTGTAAATGTTATTTTAATATCTGTTGAGGCAAATTTTGGAAAATTACAGTCATCATCTTAGAGAAAGCCTTTGTAGTTTACGTGAAAGTGAGTTTTACAACATGAAAAAACAAGAGTCGTGATACAATACAGTTGCGTGTTAAAGTTTTAGGACTTAATGGGCATGTTTGTTATTTGTCCGTTTTTATGTTAAATTATTTAGTTCGGTAGATGCGTTTCGTCATTCCTTTTTAATGTAGAGAAAATGTTTGGCAATTAGATTGACCCGAAATTGTCGCCTAGTTTTTGACTAGGTATTGTGATCTGTAAATCCTTCGATTTTATTCTTGGCAAGTAGTTCTCAGTCACCCTGTATATGTGAACACAGAGATAAGTCGAGATTTTTAGTGCGAAATTTGCCTATCGACCATTTCAAACTGGGAACAGCCAGTGAAAATGTCCTGTAAACATTCTTTTTGCAAAACGTGTTGGGAAAGCTACCTCACTACCAAAATTCAAGATGGCGACGCCCATCACATATTGTGTCCAGCTTATCAGTGCCATATATTGGTTCCTGTGGAACTTATAGAAAAATTAGTAAGTCCCGATATGGCGAGGCGATATTTGCAGTTTGACATTAAGGTAGGAACAACAATGTCTGTTCGATAATTTCTAATCGTTGATACAATCTTTAGGCCTTTGTCGAAAGCAATAAAAGCATTAAATGGTGTCCCATTGCCGGTTGCGGGAGAGCGGTACGGCTACCGGAAGCCGAACAAACCGGAAACCGTATCAACAATAAATCAGTGCCGGTTACCTCCCACGCCGTAGATTGTGGAAATGCGCATTTTTTTTGTTGGGAATGTTTGGGGGAAGCCCATGCACCTTGCGGTTGCAAACAGTGGCAAGAATGGCAAATTAAAATTGCGGAAATCAAACCAGAAGAGCTTAAAGCTTCGTGCAGCGGAAGCGAAGACGCTGCCAACTGCCTCTGGCTTGTTACCAATTCTAAACCCTGTCCAAACTGCAAAAGCCCTATACAAAAAAACGAAGGCTGCAACCACATGAAGTGTTCCAAAGTATATCTCCCTTTAACATCATATTTCCTCTAATCAGCTCAATTTTTAGTGTAAATTCGATTTTTGCTGGGTGTGTCAGGAATCGTGGAAGAGACACAGTTCTGCAACCGGGGGTTATTTCCGCTGCAATCGCTTCGAGGCTGTCCACAAAGCAGACGAGAAACAAGGAAATTTAATTTCCGAAGCTCTAGACAGGAATAATCAAATGCAAGAAATGTCCCGGTTTTTGCATTTTTATACTCGTTTTAAAAACCACGAGAACAGCCAGAAATTAGAAGAGCCGCTGCTAACCAGCGTACGTCAAAAGAGAGAAGTCCTCGCCTCCAGCCTGGGATTAAAGGGCACAGAAGGTAGGTAGGTAGGTTTAATCCTAACTATGTAATTATTACTTTAATATGCAGATTCCGGAGAAAAAGGGACGAAATTTATCGAAGACGGTGTAAGGGAATTATTAAAAGCGCGAAGAGTTTTATGCGGTTCTTACGTTTACGGTTATTACTTGGAGGATGACGGTTATAACAAAACCATCTTCGAATTTATGCAGGTAATATTAAAATTTCAGTGGGAATTCTTTCGCGATAATAATTAATGCCGCAGAACGAACTCGAAGAAGTGACCGAAAAATTAAGCGAGATGATAGCTCGCCCCTATCTACGCACTCCGAAAGCCGTGATCGTCCAAACCACCGCCTTGGCGAGGAGAAAAAGACACGAATTCGTGAGAGCGGTAGCTCAAGGCTTGATTCCACCAGAAACGCCGCCCACTCAAAGGAAGCGGAAACGAAAGTATCTAGACGTAAGCAGAAAGCTTTTCTTTGGCCATTGTACTTGAATACAATTATTTCAGACTGATTTAACGCAAACGAGTGCCTGGTTGCGTGATTGTGAATGGCCTGAATACGATTCCGATGAAGATAATGAAATAAGTTTCAAACAATTTTCTGGAGGCTCTCCAAATTCCAAGGATCATCAGTGCGGCTTTTTGTGCAGCAGACACGGATGCGGCCGTAAGCACTTTTTATTGTGTAAGTCGTGGAAATTATTAATTTCTTTGAAAACAGGTTCTGATTATAACATGGAACTCATAATAGCGCTAGAAATGTCGAGACTTCAAATGATCGAAGATAGAATGAAACAGGCTCAAGCTAATGCGATCACTCCGGACCCTAGTTCGAGTATTTCGAATAATAGTAACGAAAGTGCCGACGATCAACTGAAATTGGCAATTCAGTTAAGTTTGCAGGAATCGGGAACGACAGAAGACGCAGTGCAGAATCAGCCTTACCAAAAGAGCAGCGCTGATTTAACTGTGGATTATTTCCTGAAATCTCTGGCTAATCACAAGATCGATCTGAAAACTCTCGACGTTAACAAGTTGAGTACTGAGACGGACAGAGAGCTGTTTTTCAGGCCTTGCAACGGTAACGAAGACGGGAGGTTCCAGATTTCGGATATTCACGAAAAAGGGTTCGCCTTTGAAGATGTCGACGATTATGATGACGCCGATGTGGGTTTGAAAAGGTCACACTCGACCGGCGACCTTTGTGTGCGTAGAAGCGGAAGAGGGACTAGGGTACGGATGAACGGCGACGAGCCTCGTTATCATCTGGACTCAGACCACAGCAGTCAACACGATGATAAACCTGAAGATCTAGCCAGAAAGATTCTAGCTTTACCGTCAACGTCGGTGCGCACAAAACAATTTCTTCTGCTTCACCACACGTACCCGGAGGAGGAGTCTTACCAGGGGCAGAGTTCGATAGAAGACACCACGACGTCCGATTCGATCAACGCGGATATGGAAGTGTGCGGTATTTTGAGCTCCGTCACTGACGAGGACATAGGCAAAAGTTACACCGAAGACGAAGAGATAAAGAAGACTGAGGTTACGAAAATCGTCGAATGTAAAAAACAAACACACAATCCGTTTGCCTCGTTGAAAGCAAAACTGTGTTCAGCACACCTGCCTAAAACTAGTTACTTGACGAGAATCGCGGTAAATAAAAGTATCGGTCTTCTCAGCAACAGCGAACACAAAGTCAAAAAGAACTGTGATATACCTAAAGACGAAAGGTGCAAAAGCGAGAAACACAGTCCCAAGAGCATTAAACATCAGAAGTGTTGCCGCGACGGTAGCTTCTCCAGGTCCACCGGGTTCCTTCTGGAGGACCAGCGCAAGAGCTGCAATTTGCGGATCAAGATTTGCAACAGTCCTGATTCCAAGTGCCGCAAAAGTCACATGCTAGAAACAGACAGTTCGAACGAGTACGAATCGGAGACTGGCATCCCCAAGTCACCTACGTTGTTCATATCGGGAGTGTCCATCTCCCGAACGCCAGAACCAAAATCACCCGGGATGATCTTGATATCGGGTGGTAGACAATCGAGGTCGTCTAGTTTAAGTGTACCTGTGCCTCTAACTTCGTGTTCTTTAAACATTTCTAGTACTAGTCTAAACAATACTCTGCCGCCGGAACCATTCACGCCATCTTTGGTCCGTTCGACAACCCCAGCCAATTCGCGTTCGAACATCCCCAGCCCCTCAAACTCGAGCCCCAAAAAGGAAAACAATGCCAAAGCGAAGAGCGCCAACGAACCGGAAAGAGAACGAGAGATGTTCAGGTTTCCCAAGTCTTCGACGGACGGTGCTCTGAGTTCGGTTTTGCACATACAAGAATCAAATCTGAGCTCGGACGATTTCCACGAAGCACTGTTCTTGTTGGAAAGGTCCCCGAAAACTAGAGACTCGAAGAGACGAAAAAAGTCGAAAAAGAATAAAGAGAAGGACGACAAAAAAGAAGACGTTAGCTCCGTTTTGTAACTATGTAAGACTGTTTCGTTGTTATTGTTGTTCAAAACGTATCGAAAATGCGTTTTTGTGATAAGTAGCCATGTAAGTTTTCTGTGCTAAAATTTAAGTGACCAACACGACACGCACTGGACAAATTTAGCTGTTAAATGATTATATAAAGCGTTGTTTATTTTTGTGTTTAAACTAAAATTTTGTGTTGGTAAAACGTGGTATTCTTGAAGGATTTTTTGATACGTAAGTATAAATATTTTTTTATTTCAAAAACTAGGCGGTAATAGAGGTTAAGTTATGAATCGGGTACATGCATTAATGTGTTACAGTTGTGTTAATAACTTCTTGGATATCTTCGAAAAGCTGAGTAGATTCCAAAAATATACAAATTTCCTTATTTGAGAAAAACAAGATAAAAGCAATACAACATCTTTGAAAAGTGCATAATCAAAAAGTAAATCGTGTAATAATATGATGAAAATGAATGTTTTATAAAATAATTTTTGTAAAAAATCCATATTTGGAATAAAGACTTGCTTTACCGTTGTGTACATTTTAAAATGTTTCTTTGGTTGTAAATCTTCCAAATAATAATGTTGACATAACTTTTCCTCTATTTTCCGTTGTGGTCACAAATTCAAAAACGTATTCTCTTCTCGTACAAGCCCTCGGTCAGCTGAAGGATCTAATTTAAGGTACTTCCAAATAATTCATTTTTACCCAAGAATATTCCGTTCGAGTAAGCACTGCTTCTTGGATCTCGTAATGTATATGTGTCGCTGTCCTCCAACTATAACTCTTGTTCAAAAAAATTTCCTTCTAGTTATGTTGATTTTTACCCTAAACTGTGTTCGCCTTCAACAACAGACTGACGATTTGTGAATACTTTTTTGAACCAAACGGTGTACCCTACTAACGTTGAAATTTTTTACGAGTTGTTTTGCTTATCGATTTGTAGAAAAATCATATCAACAAAAGAAATTCGTTGACGAATGAATTGAACAACTCCTAAATTAAACTGTCGTTTGGCATAAGTAAACACTTGTAATATTTTTTGTAGAAAGTTTTTATAAAATTTTATATAAACACAAATTTCCTAGATGTCATTATAATTTATAAAATTTAGGCCTAAAATTTATTTTTGACTGACTAAAAAATATAGTATTAAAATAATAGTGATATTTTCACATTTGAAACTAAACCAATTTATAGTCTATTGATTTACATTCAAGATTTAACTCTTCCTAAACTTGCCGTTATTTACATGAAGAAATAAAAAGGCAAGACGTCGATAATACCCCTTCATACTTAGACTGAATTTTAATTTACGTACTCGTATTTAAGTCATTTTAGTCGAACTAGTTTTTTAATTTTTATGTACAAAAATTATTTTCTTATGATAATTTACTACTATATTCTATAACATTTGCATTGATATGTACGCACAATATCTAATTTGATTCTTATAATAAAATTGCCAATTAATCAGAAAATGTAACACATCAATAAATTCTCTCGCGCGATTGATTCAATTTTGCCCACAATACCGAAATTTGAATCACCTTTTTTTCCAAAAATCAGACAATAGATTCCGTGTAAAGCTTCCGGAGAAATTTACTGGTGTGTAATATTTTTACCATGAAATGTAGAATTATTAAAAACATGTAATGTTGAATGTTCTATACCCATAAAGTAGTTGTTAGATGAAACCTTGTACTGATTGTGATTTTTTTAGCAAATAATAAATAAACCATTTCTGAAACGTTTTATTTTTTATGGTGTTTATTGTACAAGCTTTGTTTGGTACAATGTAAACCTCTTGAAGTACGTGTAGCTCTTATAAATCTTATCTTTATAAATGTTAAAAAAATATTTAAACAATGAAGGCAGAATTGTTTAAATATTTTTGGGCGATTTTACACACAAAAATTGTTTATGTTACTCCACAAGGAAGATTCTCCTTTCGAATAACACAGACTGCACTTACAACATCAAAACTACATCTAGGACTAGTATCTCCAAAAATAAATTATAAAAAACGTATAAAGCTCAGTTCAAATACTTTGGCATTTATGGCAAACAACATTTTTCTAACTCCAATCGTTGATTTCACCTCGATAAATTAAGTAATATACAAATTTAAGTAAACAAACTTAAAGTAGACTATTCTAGTTAAATTAGTTCAACAAGAACACAGCTCATAGCAAACTTATTTTGACGACCTTATTTTATTTACAAAACTGCTTTTCTTGTTCAACTATTTATCCGCTATATTTATTATTTCTATATGGGCCAGCCATATGAAACATTTTGGACCCAAAAAAATCAAATACTTTCATATCAAATTCATGCATTTGTTACGTAAAACCATTTAATACTTTGATCTACAAACAGTTTATACTTATTACGTTTAAACATTTATACATAAAGCTTTTATTGTTCATATGATTGCCAATCGACACTTGTTAAGTCGTATTACTGGTATTTTTAAGAGTAGCACAATTTGGCACGACCGTTCTTAAATATTCTTACAATTAAACATCTAGAACTACCATATTCATTTATACAGAACACTTAACATGAAAAAATCATATACGACCAGCGCAATGAAAATACAACACAAACAAAGATTGACAGAAACTTGAAAAAGAACTTACACGAATAACCAATGTTTAGCCTTAAATCTACTTACTAGTTTACTCCGTCGGATTTCTTCGTGTTCTTCTACAGGAGTGATACTAATAGCAAGTTTCTAAAAAAAAAGTTTTTATGGTGTGGGCCTGATTAAATAAATTGTCTCACCTCTTTCAAAGTTCCCTCAGTTTTGATCAACTGTAACACACCAACTAATGGAATCATTATAATGGACGAAAGAGCTAAACCCCATCCGACCCATTCTGCCCATCTGGGGTACAAGTAGTCGTTATATTTAAGTGGCTGAGGGTTGAGCAATCCGAAGAGTACTACCATCTGAAATTTTGTAACTCTTAAGGATGTGCATAAACAACACAGCTGAATAGTAATATTTAAATCTCTTTATGAAGCTCTGATCTTGGGGCAATGTAATGGCACCTTAATAATAAAATGCATGTTCTCTTCTTTAAGTGGTAAGCTTTTACTGCTTATTTAGACTTTATTGTAACAATTATCCATGTCATTCTTTATAGTCGACATAGTCTGTAAGTGACAAGTCAATAACTATGACGTCATCGTGATGAGTATGTGCTCAAAAGTGATCTTGAATTGAGCAGCTGCAATAGAAACGTATCAACGGTAGAAAGTTTGAAACCACTAAATTTCGTATTGACTGGCTAACGTTCTCGTCAAATTTTATTCAAATTTAAAATGTGGTATGCGTTAAATATGTATTTAGTGCATAATGGATGTGAGTTACTCCTGATGATGTACACATGTTTACAAAAGTAATTAAGTCTTATCTTGTTTTAGGCAGGGAAATGAACTTGACTTTCATCGTACTAAAAATATTGCCGCAGAAACTAAATATATGCACAAGTTGTGTATAAAAAAGTTTTTATATTTATTTTATATTCCACATTTAATTTCCATTACCTGATTGACTCCCAACTTTCGTTCACTTGATTTTGTTAAAAATATTTTTTTGCGTCAGATTTCCATACAGACATAGATTTTTAAAAATCTGTGTTCTATGTATGTCGTCTCCTTCGAAAATCTGTCAGGCTTAATCTAGTATTTGAAATCTGTACTAACAATTATGAAGGTCGGACTGATGAATTTCCAGCAAATCCTCCAGTAAAGTCCAGGTTTAGATCCAATCATTGCTTCAACGTCTTGAGTGAATCTGTCCAAACCATAGAACCATGAAACAGCAATCGCTTCAAAGAGAGCCGAGCACAACAGAGAAATTCCAGCGGAGTAAGTATCAAACAGGTTAAAAGTGTAAATACCGCCCTAGAAAAATCTTTTACAATTGAAAAAAGAAAGTTGATAAAGCGTATACGGGAGTGACATTGATGAGCGCGACGGAAAAGGAAACAATGATGACGCCAAGCGTAAAAATCTCCCTCGAATGCTTTCGAGTTTTGAAGAACGTCGTGTATTCATCCATTAAGCCGGTGATTACACATTCCAGCCCTCCCATCTAAAAAAAATTCGTTTAGCTTTGCACACTAATTGTTGACTTTATAACTCACAGCAGAGTCAAGTCCGAGCATGATCAGCATGAAAAAGAACAGCATTGACCAGAAGTGAGATCCGGGGAGGGTAGCCACGGCTTCTGGGTACACTTGGAATACCAGACCCGGCCCTGAAAAAGTTTTTCTCATTGAATGTTTTTTGTTGATCACGTCTTATTCCAAACGATAATCTACAAACACGCCCATTAATAATAATTAGAACGTTTTTTATTCACAATTACCCTCTAATTTTGAGGGTTTTTTACAACCTCCTATAAATTCAGGTGAAGGAGCAACCGATATTACCCGAACCACAGGCACAATGTGTAAAGTGGAGCCTGAAGTAAGTGAATTTATTACCCGCGGATTTATGACAGAATATGCTTTCATTTCGGATTTATCGCAGTTTAAATATCCTTCAATTTTTAAGTTCTTCAAATATTAAATTTGGAAAAACCGTACTATAATTTAGAAGAAATAAGGAATTTTCGTTTCTGCTTTTGTTCCGGTGTTTAGCGTCAAGCCAAATCCTGTATTTTAAGCGATTCATGTGCTGTCTGTTAAACGGAATGTTTGTCGGATAATTGAACGTATTTCAGAGCGTAATTGTTTGGCTTACCCTCGGTAGCGACTGTGCTAATGTGAACGCCTTGTTTGTACGACATAAATCCCAAATAGGTGAATATCACGAATCCCGAGAAGAAGCTTGTAAAACAGTTCACGGCAGTTGTCACAATGCAATCCCTGAAATTTCACTTCTGTTAGACTGGTTCGTTATTGGGGATTAGGAGTTCTTACCTGAAACAGTTGTTGTGGAACGTGTTGTAGCTGGCATAAGAGAGATGTACACCAAATCCTGCTCCCACGGAGTAGAATATTTGCACGGCAGCATCAACCCAGACCTGAAATTAGGAACAAATTGCGGCATCCTTGAGTAGACAGCAACTGGATGAAGGTAATTACCCTTTGGTAATTCGTTGTGAATCTACTAATCTATGAAAAGTGTGACCTGGTTGGTTCCTTTGTTCGAAACAAAAATCTATTTCAGTTGAAGAGTTATGTATGTTTTTTTAAATTCATCAAAGTGGTTCAGTTTCAGACAAAAGCTATTAGTTTGTATTACCTCGAAAAGTATAATAAATTTGATTATTTGGATGTTCTCGTCTAACTGTGATAGTCCTTTTATCTTGGAATCACGTTATAATACCTATGTATAATTAAAAATTTATTTGTTCATTTATGATCGATATGGACAGTTATTTAAAAGCAACCCTAACGTAGAAGCTAAGGCGACAAATTAAGAAATAACAAAAAATCTGGAAATGAAAAAATCAGATTTCTTTTTCAACCATATAAGTTTATGAACAATATTTTAATAGAATATATTCATTTATGCATTCGTATCACTTTAAATTTTCCATTGTTTATCTCCACATTTGTATCATTTTAACAAGCAAATATGTATATTTATAAATATTCATTTTGAATACACCCAGATAGATGAATTTTCTAATCAATAACTTGTTTACCTAAAAGTATTACAGTATCCGTGTGACACTATACTAAAAAGATGTTATCATCAAAATCATCCATCATCATTATAATTGGATGTCTGAAACTTTTTCTATTTTCTATTTTGGTTTTATTATTTGCAGGTGGTCTGAGAACAATTCTTGATAAGGAAAGTGTGCTTTGCAAACTGTAACCAACTTTTTTTACAAAAGGAAAATGTCAAAACTATTTTTACTATTAACTATTATTTTACAAAAAATACTACCACTTTATTTTTGTCAACTTCGCAATCACCGAGTTCTTCTATATGACTGTTTATCTGAGATTATACTGCTTTATTTTTACTCTTAATTTTGAAGATTTTTTTTAGTTTTGAAGCAGTTTATTTATTGGCAGTGATTTCATCAGAAAGTTTTTTCGTCTAGGTGAGGTTTTCTATTTAAAAAACAAAGAGAAATACTTTTCATGTGTGGAAATATAGCAAATACAGTCTTATATGACAATCACTGAACGTCAAACTTGTCATAGTCACCCTGGTGTCTTTAGAAATAGTGTGCGTTTATTCCGATTTGTAGTAGTGATTCCTGTGTTTTATGTTTTTTTTTGTTTACATTTCTCAAAATTCATCTTCATTTATTGATAAAGTTTCCAAAATTGTAGAGTCAAAAATTAAAAAATTAACAACGGTCCATAGTCAAAAATAAAAAAAGATTTGGAAATAAAGACAAAACAATTATGACACAAATAAATAACTTAAACCACATTAATAAACATAGAAATACATAAAAACAAACGGTATATGATTGGAATTTCCTGAACTATAAAACGAAGTCAAGGACCAATTTTTCAGTTGATATATCCAGAATGATAAAAAAAAATCACGGATAAGATCGATGTGACGTTCTTGACAAACCATTGAAAAATTCGATAGAAGTCCCTAAACCAAACTTTCGAAAATATTAAACCTCAAAATTGAAGAATTAACTTCGTATTCTGATCTGTTTCAATGTACTGTCTGCATTAATACGCAGTGAATTATTTAGTTGTTAATAATTTAATGATGGTTTGCTTGATTGCGATCCACGACTTTATTTTTAACCGTTTCCAGATGTGATTTCAATTTTTATCGAAAGTTTAAGATTTTCAAAAGCTTGGTTCAGAGGTTTTTTTGACCTTTTTGTGAGTTCTTTAATTTACATTTCAAATTGTATTATCAAGTGGTAAAGCGCTGACCAAAATTCGTCACCAGCAATGAAATGACGTAATCTTCAAATTTTACGATAGTAGTAAATTCTATGTCCTCCGTGTACGGTTTATGAATTCGTATTGAGTTTGTATCTTAGACGTCAAGATTTATGGGAAAAAAGTCAACAACAATTTTGTCGAATCAATGTTATTTAAATGTTAAAAAGGAGCATAGTCCTGAACTTGTGGTTTATAAATACGCTATTGAGATTTTTCGGCTTTACGATTTCTCAAATTTTCAACTTCAGATGTTTCAACTTTTCAATATTTCAATTTTTGACTTTTTCAATTTTTTCATTCTTCAAATTTTCGATTTCTCATTTTTTTTTATTTTCCGATTTCTCAATTTTCTGATGTTTCGATGATACGATTTCTCAAATTTTGTGCTCTTCAATTTTACGATTTCTAATATTTCGATTTTTCAATTTTTCAAATTTTGACGTTTCTAAATTTTCAGTTTTCCGATTTCTAAAGTAATCTTTTTTTTATTTTCCCATTTCTCGACTTCTCAAAGTTTCGATTTTTCAATTCAACAATTCTTCAATTTTTCGATTTTTCAGGTTTTTTATTTTTCAATTTTTCGACTTTGCTCTTTTAGTTTTTTGATTTCTCAATTTTTTGGATATTTCTTTCAGTTTTGAGATTTTCAGTATTTCGATTTTTGGACCGCTGGATTTTTGATTTCTCGAGTTTTTACTTTTTGGATTTTCAATTTTTCATTAAACTTTAGATTTTTTAATTTTTCGACTGTTTTATAATTGGATTTCTCGAGTTTTCAGTTCTTCTATATCTCAATTTTTCGATTTTTCATTAATTTGATTTCTCGATTTATCGAATTCAGATGTTTCGATGTTTCGATTTTTCGGTGATTCGATTTTTTGGTTATCTGATTTTTCAAATTTTCAATTTTTTTAATTCTAGAGTTTCGATTTTTGGAGTTTCAGTTTTCTGATTTGTCGATTTTTCAATTTTTCGATTTTTAAATTTTAGATTTTCGAATTTTTATTCTTTGATTTTTTGATATTTGAATTTCTGGATTTTTCAATTTTGCGATATTTTAATTGTTGAATGTTCTAAATTTTAGATTTTTCGATTTCTCGATATTTTGATTTTTCGGTTCCTCAGTATTTCTATTTTTCAATTTTTTAAATATGTATTGACGTTGCTAAATTTTCAGTTTTCCGATTTCTCAATTAATCTATTTTTGATTTTCCCACTTCTCTACTTCTCCACGTTTCGATGTTTCAGTTCTTCACTTCTTCGAATTTTCGACTTTGTTTTTTTGGTTTTTCGATTTCTCAATTTTCCAATTTCCTAATTTCTCAATTTTTGGATATTTCTTTCAGTTTTGGGATTTTTTGACTTCCGAATTTTCCGTTTTTCAACTTTTCGATATTTTCATTTTTCAATTTTCCGGATTTTTCGGAAATTTATCGAGATTCGGATGTTTCGATTTTTCGACTTCTCGACATTTCGACTCCTCAGTTTTTCGATCTTTTGATTTTTCGATTTCTCGATGTCTCAGTTTTTAAATTTTTGGATGTTTCGATTTTTCGATTTGTCGGTTTTTCGATTTTTTACTTTTCGGCTTTTCGATTTTTCGATTTTCCAATTTTTTTAGTTTTCAAGTTTCGATTTCTCGAGTTGTTGATTTTTCAGTTTTTCGATTTTTAAATGTTACATTTTCAAATTTTTATTTTCATTTTTTGATGTTTAGATTTCTCAATTTTTCGATTTTGCGGCATTTTAATTTTTCAATGTTTTAAATTTTAGATTTTTCGACTTTTCAGATCTTCAATATATTTTAATTTTTCAGATTTTGATGTTTCTGAATTTTTAGTTTTCCGATTTCTCAAATAATCTAAGTATTTTTGAGTTTCCCATTTCTCGAGTTCCCAAAGTTTCGATCTTTCAGCTCTTCAGTTGTTCAATTTTTCGATTTTGCGAAGTTTGCGATTTTTCGACTTTGCCATTTTGACTTTTCGATTTCCCATTTTTTCAATTTTTTTCGTTCATTTTTGTGATTTTTCAGTTTCTCGATTCTTCAATTTTTCTTCTGTTTCAGTTTTTAGATATTTGAATTTTGGAATTCTTTAGTAATATTTCAACTTTTCGATTTTTCGAGTTCTGGATTCTTCGATTTCTCAACTTTTTACTTTTTTGGATTTTCAATTATTTGTTTGTAAACTTAGAATTTTTCAATTTTTCAACTGTTTTATACTTCGATTTCTCAATTTTTCAACTTTTCGATATTTTAACTTCGATTTCTCGAGTCTTCTATATTTCAATTTTCGGAATTTTTAAATTTTCGATTTTCCAATTTTTTTTCGACGTTTCGATTTTTCAATTATCCGATTGCTCAATTTCTCGATTTTAAAATTTTAAATTTTCAAATTTTTATTTTTTTGATTTTTTTCATATTTGGATTTCTCGATTTTACAATTTTTCGATATTTGAACTTGTCAATGTTTTAAATTTTTGATTTTTCAATTTCTCGATTTTTCAGTTCTTCAATATTTTTATTTTTCAATTTTTAGATTTTTTTGAATTTTGCCATCTTGGTTTTTCGACTTTTAAAATTTTTCGAAATTTCGATTCTTAGATTTCCCGATGTTTCAAGTTTTCGATTTCTCAGTTTTTTCAACATTATCGGTTTTACGATCTTTTCAATTTTTGTTTTTCGCAATTTTTCTATGATTCAATTTTTCATTTTTTCGGTTTTTCGATCATTGAGAGCGTTATTACTAAAAGTAAAACTAAAAAATAACTACCAAAATTGTGGCCAAAATTATATAAAAATTAATACAAAATAAACAAAATAGAACACAATCCTTCTAAAACATAAAATACATAACTGCACTTTCCCGAAAAAAAACTATAGCATGATTACGGTTCCACTAGTATTGTTAGTTTAGGACGTTTTATCAGTATCCCTGTGAGATGTAGTATTTGTTTGTAAATAAAAGCATCCACTTAATAACTATTTCCCGCAGAAATTCTGAACGCTTAAAGTCGACATTGGCTTGAGAGCGCTCCGGTCTGTGGATCAAACAAGTGTACTACTCAAGCTGAAAGCAATAACGTTTACAGAGTTTCAATATCTCTATCTGTTTTCAAGATATAAGGCCGCGGGCTTTTAACTGGGACACAAGAATCCTAGAAAAGGTGCAAAAAATTCAGTGTTAGTTAATGAATTGAGATAAATTGGGGAAAATAAAGTCATCTGCATAATGAACAATGAAAATATACATTTTTTTACATTTCAGAAATCCACAACACAGCAGTTGAAATGTATAATTCATATTATATTTCGTTTTATTGTTAAATACTTACCAAAATTAGAATTTTAATGTAATCTTTTGTATTCTAGTAACACAATACTGATAAGAGACTAAATTAAATTATTTTTTCTACACTAATTCTGTTACTGATCAGTTAACGAGATTTACACCGTTAACTTTTAATATTTACTACCTTACCAACATAAAATAACAGCTGGGGGATCTTTAAAACATGCAGAGAATATAACCTAAGGAGTTGGTATTTAGAAAATAGTTAAAAAGGGTGGCGATCGAAATGTTCAAATACCTGTGTTTCTCTAAGTTTAGATAACTCCGGCTTCAGATAGTACGAGATACCCATGCCTGATCCTGGTAACATTAACCCTCGAATAAGAAGAATTGTTAGAACCACGTAGGGCATGGTGGCAGTTACCCAAACAACCTTCCCTGCAAGAAAATGAAGCAAATGGTTTTTTTTGTATGGATTCAACAGCAATAAAACTTCAAAAATTATACAAAATATACCAAAATTAAGTTCCAAAATAGAAAAAAAAAATCTTTTTCGGTTGCATTTTTTTACCTGACGACTTGACTCCTTTAAACAGAGATATGTACAACATTACGTAGACAAGCATCAAACATAAAACCAGCTGCCATTTCGGGTAACCCATTTCGTGTAATCCATCACTCCATTGCATTTCTAATACTGCTCGGCTGCAATACAGTTAATAAATTCGTCTTTTAAAAAATAGTAATTTTATTTACTGAAAAAATTCTGATGCTGGTGTATGCCTGTTTGTAGGTGTTGTGTCGTTAAATATTGGAGCTTTTACGGTAACGTTGGAAGTACCCGGCAACATGCTTTCCCAACATTTTCCCGTGTTCCATGTGTTATTACAATGTAACCACGGTAAATCTGGAGTGAAACTTGTTCCCAAAAAGTACAATGCCCACGCTGTTAATACAAAGATGTATCGATTATGTTTTTCTTTCAATAGTAACTTACCTATTATTACATTATAATAGAACGAAACGTAAAACGCAACTAGGACGGCACAGAAACCAACACCTGTGTAAAGAAAAGATTATTCAATATTGAGCATATTTTACGCATTTAAAAGCCACTTTGAAGTACTATTGAACAAAGCGTCTTTTACAATCCTGCAAACAAATCATTTTTTCTGTAAAAATTGCAAGTAATCATTACGTAAATATTCTTACAAACGAAGTCGAACACAAACCTGTCAGGAACATAATGGTTTGAAGAATAATATTTATGCGAAAATTTCTTTTGTGTTTAATAAAAATTGTTCCTCAAATTATAGACGTGAGAATTTTACCTTTTACTCATACTCTTATTAAATAACAGTAATAACAAACACTGTTAATGTAAAAACAAAATAACGGATGTTTAAATAAAAAATTCTCAAAATTGGTCGTAGTAACCGCTACGTTAATAGCGGGGTTTTAAAACCTGATCTATAAAAAAAGAATGCAATAAGATATCAAAGACATACTGGCTAATACAAAATCGTTCTTATTGGCACATTTCGTATGACGATTTATTTAAACTTTACAGTATAGGAAGACACAGGTTTTCCGCTTCCGTCGTTATTAATTTTATTATGTAAATAATTTCGAAAATTGCTTAACTCGTGCTTGAACTTTAGATTATTTATTCATCTCCTCTAAAAAATTGTTTTTGCTTTCACATCGTACTGCGTCTTTAAAAAAATCGTTTCGACCATCACATGTTTAGTTTATCGCAGACATTACATAATAAATTTCTTGTAATTGTTTTTCAAATTTGGTGTATATTTTACGTCAATAATTATTATATTTATATTCACTGATCCTAAAAATAATTAAACATTCTAAAATGCGCCCCATACTCATGCGATATTTATATTGTGAGGCGAGGGAAGTCTTGTGTAAATAACTTTACAGATTTTCAGAATGGAAGACGATGAAACAATAAAGAATATCAGTCATTATATTAACAGAACTGTTTGAATTTCCTTTAAAGGACTGTTACAAAATATGAATACTGGAATCGATTTGAAAGTGCAGGCGATGGCCGAATGATTAAAGAGTATCAAACACTTAGTTATAAATCAGTTTATTTTACACTTAACTCATCTATGTAAAGTAAATTTTGTTGTAGTCTCTGAGCATGAAGACTTTATTGCACTTGTTGCATTACTTTATCACCACTCTGTAGATTACATTTTGAGACAATAAAATAAAATAATGATTTCACTATCCGCGATTAAACACGAAATTTTGTAATTAAAAAATACAAATATAAATTTATTTTAATTCCAGATCGCATTTACCTTAATTGTAAATCCCGCGGCAGCACTTTCTTAATCCCACATTCATTTAATAAAAATGATTTATCGTAACAAACATATGAATTACGGCAACAAATTAATATGTAACACGCCGCGCCCCAAAGGAGCAGTGAAAATGCATTATCAAGGGAGCGACCAGTCAACATCAAGCACAGCTTTTCAGTATTTATATTCATTTCACATAACTGGCTATCAAGATACTGATATTAAAATCTTTTCTTTCTAAATTATTTTTGTTGGACAGAAATGGTGCAACATACACCAGTGTTCTGAAGCTAATTCAAGTTGAAACGAAATACCTCAGGGAGTTCAGTGACGCCGCTGAAAGACATTTATGCAAAATTACCGTAATGAATATAGCAAACATCCAATTTGGTAAAAAATCCGGCAAAAGCTAAAACGACATCAGCGTAAAGCTATAAAAATTTATAGGGTGATGCATCTCAACCATGCGATCGAGTTACTTGCAATCTGCCATAAACATACATTAAAACTCAATTCTAGGGATAGATATTACGGTAATTCTAGAGAAAATAAAAAAACTATTGTGGTTTGGTTATTTAGTCCATGATTGAAATAAACATTCTGAATACATTATCTTATGGCGATCACTTTCTCAGAAATAATAATATAAAAATTTAAGTGTATCATAACATCGTAAACAGAGTTTCGAATATACTACATAATATCCAGTTAAGCTCACAACAATCCCGCTTACATAATTTCAGCTCACTCCGACCTCGAAATATGTACAGTACTCCTCAATAAATAACAAACACTAGTCTAATTTACATTTTTATTACCAATCGGAGCTTTTCTTAATCCAGATTGGTTTTTTTCTATCCTATTGTTAAAGAACACTGTTGTATTGTTGCAGAGATTAGATCAGATACGATTTTCTGACTTACCCACCTCGCAAAGTCTTGATTCACTTTCTCAATAACTTAATCATAGTTGCGTAATTAAATAGATTAACTAAGAGTGAAAAATGAAATAAAAGCATACCCTTGAATAGAGGGCATATCCTCCATAAACTAATAGGTCCCTGCCTATTGAACTGTCCCAAGATGAGTTCCATATAAAACAAGGGAACAGCTCCGAAGACTAACATTAAAGTATACGGAACTAAAAAAGCCCCTACAAAAGAATTTTAATGGTTTCTTATAATAAGATCAGTCATAAAAACCAATCATAAATCCCGCTAATGAGACGCCGATATTATATTGCCTACCTCCTCCGTTCTTATAACAAAGATAAGGAAATCTCCAAACATTAGCGAGATCAACTGCAAATCCAATGATGGATAATAAAAAATCAGCGCCTGAACTCCACGTTTCTCTGCTTTCGTCCGGAACGTTTGGCGAATCAGAGTCCGCTTCGCCTGCTTGACTAGAACTTGTGGATAATATGAAGGATTCGTAACCCTTTTCATCTTCTTCGAGCTGTACATGAAGATCTTCTAAAAAAGGGGAAAGTTGAAATTAGTTCAGTTTAATTCGTAATTAACGGTAGAGAGAAATTTTGAATAAATATAAACTTCGTAATGAAGCAGCTAACAGGAACAATATTAGTGTAGTACTTACTTTTTCTTAGTGTGCAGGTAAGTACTATGTTACTGGTTTGATTATTATGATGTTTAATAGGTTTGGCTCTACCTGAAAAAATATATTAATTTTATTAATTCAGCTGCTTAAGAAGATTTCGAACGATGTTAGGAACGGAATATGTCAAATAGTCACTTAAAAATAAAAAAGTTTAATAATATTTACCACCTAATTCTAAAAAAATATACACATACGTTACTCAAAAATCTTAGTACAGATTGTCCTTCAGAAGTGTGTTCTAAATGATTAATGGGTCTTAAGGTTTTAGCTATTTTACATCGAATTTTAATGCAACTATATAAATACTACTACTAGCAACATACAAAAATAGTAATTAAATTAAATCCCATTATTATAGTTGACGCAAAAAAAGGAGTGTTTTAATAATTTTGAAAACTTTGTCTATGGCACCGTACCTCCCCCAATTTCAGTGACGTTTTTTCTGTTTGAAAGCTGGTTTAATCGGAATAGCGCGTCGACCGTCTCTGTGAACCTTTCAGTATTAACACTTGTTCCTGAAGCTTCATCGCCGATACATTTTTACAGTTATATTACTTAATGATTATTTTAAACTTATTTTAAAATTTAATTATGGGAGAAGAAACCAGTCGTATAGGTAACAAAGACTACATTCTGTCTGCCACGTGAAAACAAAAGAAAAGAAAAATATACAAATAATTTTACATGCAACATCAGTAGAATGTTTTGTTGAAAATAACTTTGTGCTTAATAAGCACGCTCATATATACTTAATATACCCCGTGAGCGAATGTTTTTTTCTCACTGTGATTGGTACTATCTATTTTTTTTTACTCACATGGGTCATTATGAATAAACACAATTTTTCAGAATCAATTTTTATAATTTTTCGAAAAACCTGGATGTGTCCAATTGTATTTAAGAGGCGAGGAAAGTTCTGTCTAAATCATTTTTGACCAATTTTTTATCTCGAATTCTTTCCAGGTTACTTTTAAGGTTATTAGACAGTTATATTGTACACGGGATGAGTCACTAATCGCGGTGTCCTCGATGCTTCATTAATAATTGTTATTAGGTCTCCCGTTTCCGTCTGTCTGTCTGTCTGTGTGTCTGTCTATCTGGCGCCTGTCCGGATTTTTATTTGACAAATAGTCTCTGCAACTAGTGGGCCAATTGTTGTCAAATTTTATATGTACATTAGGAAGATCATATAGATGATAGAACGCTCACCAAAATTTGACTAATCATCCCTACCACCAATGAGATGACGTCATCTCTGAAGTTTACAATAATATATATTCTTTTAATTTTATAAAATAAGATACTCTTGCACTTGTAGTGTACGAATCCGTACTGAATTTTTATCCTAGACATCCCCGATTTTTGGAAAAAAATTAAAATTTTATATCAACATTTTGCAATTTAATTTTGTAACTGCAAAACCGGAGAAGGATAACAGTCTCCCGTTTCCGTCTGTCCGTCTGTCTGTCTATCTGGCGTCTGTCCGGATTTTTATTTGACAGATAATTTCTGCACCTACTGGGCAAATTGTTGTCAAATTTTGTATGTACATTAGGAAGATCATATAGATGGTAGAATGCTTACCAAAATTTGGCTAATCATCCCCACCACCAATGAGATGACGTCATTTCCGAAGTTTACAGTAATATATATTTTTCTTTAATTTTATAAAATAAGATACTCTTGCACTTGTGGTGTATGAATACGTATTGAATTTTTATCCTAGACATCCCCGATTTTTGGAAAAAAATCCAAATTTTATATCAACATTTTGCAATTTAATTTTGTAACTGCAAAACCGGAGACGGATAAAAGTCTCCCGTTTCCGTCTGTCTGTCTGTCTGTCTGTCTGTCTATCTAGCGTCTGTCCGGATTGTTATTTGACAGATACTATCTGCAACTACTGGGCCAATTGTTGTCGAATTTTGTATGTAGATTAGGAAGATCATAGAGATGCTAGAACGCTCACCAAAATTTAAGGTATTCTTGCACTTGTGGTGTATGAATCCGTATTGAATTTTTATCCTAGACATCCAGATTTTTTGAAAAAAATCCAAATTTTATATCATCATTCTGCAATTTTATTTTGTAACTGAAAGCCGTTTGCTCTGAAATCTTGCAAACGTGGTCGTAGTTATGGTAAATCGTTAATCAAAACTTATTCGTTTATCCCCTCCCAAAAAACGACATCTCAAAATTTGTCAAATAAATGCGATATAAAATGTGTAAAACATGATGAGTTTAAACTTGTGATTTATCATTTCATTCACAATTTTTATAATTTATACAGGGTGACTCTCAAAAAAATTGATGAATGTGTCAATTTATTTATGTTGATTAAATCAGGAACTGCAAAACGGAATGCTCTGAGATCTTGCAGATAATATTTTGAAATTATCGTAAGCATTTAATCAAAATGTATCCGTTTATCCCCTCCAAAAATTGATAACATCATCTCAAAATTTTGCCGATTAAATCCTATCGAAAATGTGCAAAATATGATGAGTTGTCATTTATCACTGCATTTATTTTTTTAGAATTACTTATTCCGGGTGACTCAAAAAAATTAATGAATGTACTATGTAAACCCATAGTATGCTTTTTGCATTACATACATATCTTTATTTTAACTTCTAGAGGTTCTCATAAAAAAAACTCGCGAAATCAAATTTTATCATTTTTCGAAAAATACTCGATAGTTTTATTGTCCTTCAGGAGCGAGGAAAGATCTGTCGAAATAACCTTCAACCGACTTTTTACATATTCTTATTAGATTCTTCCTAGGCTTTACAACACCACAGTTTATTTTCGTAATTCCAACTTTTTTTTTCAGCAATGCAAGGTTTCGCAAACAAAAAATCGCAGTTACGTTATTTTTAAGTTGTGTGTTGCAATATTTTATGAAAAAACAGAAGTACACGCTTTGTTACGATATCAATAAATACAGTTTTATATATAGTGTTTATAAAAAAATAAATTTTGCAATTTTCAAATACCGATATTTCAGTTTTTCAAATATATTTTATTAACTTCATTTTACTCTATTTTTGTTCTCTTTCTTTCGTTGTGTTCCTTTGTCCCTTAAAAAATAAAAATTCTCAATAACTAGCAGCTTAACTACAGAAAATACGTAGCAAAAAAAAGAGAGAACAAAAACAAAATAAGATGCAGTCACAACATACAGGGTGCTCTATTTGAATAAAGTGAAATATACATGTTTAGAAATTATTATAATACCTGAAATTTATCTCTCCACAAAATATTCTAACCCAGATTTTAAAATGGTTATAAATCCTAAGAAGAGGTAAATCAGAATATATAAAAATATATAGGGTATTCGATTTGTATAGTGTTACGCCTTAAAAGAAAATACTTGAATATAATTTCAATATATGGTCTTCAAAAAAATCTATAACTTCAGTGTTAGACTTTTTTTCTATTTCTAATAATAAATGAGACGAGGGCGTTTAGTGACTCACCCTGTACCTACATATATCATTACATAAACGATGCGTAAAAGGTTTTAAATACTTAAAGTTAATAAAATAAAAACAAATACATACATTTAAATTATTAATATTTTTTTAAGGGCTAGTCATCAACAACAATATACACTAAACATACAATTACCAACACAGCAGAATTTTAGAGGAATTAGATAAAATATTCCCCAGATAATCGATAAAATAAGTTGACCGGAACATTATTTTAAACATAATATGCAATTATTTATTTAAAAAAAAACACACAAAAGAAAACATAAATCACATAATAATTTTCCCGAATGACGTCATCAATCATCTAGATAGGATGAACAGCCAGAATTAGTTAATAATTTCTAATTATTAAATCATTAATATCTTATCAAAAATTCCAATATGTAGTTTTTTACATAAACTATAAAAGATGATATTTACACCTAACAATTTTTGGAAAGCATGGAAAAACAAACGCAACCTTACAAACGGAAACGAAAAACGTGCATTTTCACGTTGTACGAACCATTAACTCTTAAAAACCATGAAATTAGTCGTTCGTTATTAACTTATAGTTTGGAAATTTAAAAAAGTATAGTAAGTATAACTAGTAGTAACTCTTTCGTGTCAACATTTCGGTGCCAAAATGCATCTTTTATTGCAGTATTTTCGCATTTTGGAATAGTAATTACATTATTAAATAAATCTACATCGGAAATAGAAGCCCCACTTCATGGCCAGCTGGCAGTCCTGATTTAACGCCGTTGATTGCTTCTGTGGTGATACATAAAAGATTTGGTGTATTTGCTAACGTTGCAGAATTTAGCAGATTTGAAAACTATGTGTTCTGCACGTTCAAAGACAATTCCCACATACGTTTAAATAACTGTTTTTGAAATAGATCTTAATAATTGTAGTAGTTATATTTTTTGTTGACTTAAAATGAAATAAATACAGAATTTATATACATATTACAATCCGTTTAAAAAGTATAAATTATTATTGTTTAAAAAGTAAAAATGCTTTATATGTGCTGTGTACCAGATTAAACGTCCCCCTTCAGGCTTAAAACAATGGCGTTTACAAAATTTCATTATTTGGAGCAGGCCTCAGTTTCATTCTTGTTTTTTTACTTCAAGCACAAAATTACAACTTAAAGTATAATTAAAAATTAAGTCAAAACACAGTTATCTTTAGATTTTTTATACTCGTCTAGCGTCTCGCACAAAAAGCTCATTCTCGTGCACTTTGTGTCGTGGTCAAACATATATATCTATTTTAGTACGAAATAAAAACTAAATTCAAGACATAAAAAAATAAAACATATTTGCAAAGATACAAAATTAAACGAGTACTTATTTTTATGACCAATAAAACTCAAGTATGGTGCTTTTACGTCATTTAAAAATTTTAAGTTAACGTATATGTGATTTTAATATAAATTAACTCATGCGTCGTAAAACACTAAAAAGTCTTTTACGCATTATGGCAAATACATTTTATTAAGAAACATAGGGAAAAATTCCTTTTGCCCTAATTTTTATTTGAGAATAATGTTAATGAAAAACCCTCATT